GCCCCGCCGCTCCTCCCCCGGCCGCACAAGGGCCCTATTGTGGGCCCCGCGCCGCGCCGCGCCCCGCCTCTTCCCCTTCCTCTGCGCCCCCACACGCACGGGCGGAGGGGCGGCCGCCAAATGTCCCCCCTCACGCAGCGACCGGGCACCTGCAGGGGGGCGAGGCGCCTCCGCGGAGCCCCCCGAGTATCTGAAGCGCCACACGGAGGGAGGAAGGCTCCCTCAGGGAGCCCCCGTGAGGGGCTTCACCCGGCAGCCGCCTTCATCGCACGCTGCTGTCTGCCACACGCCAGGAGGAGACAGCATCCCAGCCCCAGCCTCCACGGCAAAGCCGCGGCTGTCACCCGGCCCCAGGGGCTGAGCACCAGAAGATGTGTCACACGGGGAAACCTGTGGCGGAAAGCCAGCGGGGCCGCCCGTCCCACCGCACACCTCTCCAGGCACACTCGGTCAGGATTTTCGCCGAGTCGTGGCTACATTTGCTGCACGCTTCCATAGGAAAATGCAGCACAATGGGTAAATAGGAAGCAGATTGTCCGCTGCTGCTCCTCCTAAAAACACATTTTCCACGTCTTCCTGAGAAAGGATGAACTGCAGATGCTCGTGCGCACCTAGAGACTGTGAAGAATTTGCAAAGCCAGATGTGAACGTGCTGATAAAATATAGCACAAACACAAAGTCCCCCCACGGGAGGAGCGCTCTGGAAGCTAGGGATACGCGAGCTATGGTCAGGATGAAATAAAGTGTACGAATTCGCCATACCCGAGTTGAACCGAGTCATTATGCAGCTGTACGAAGGCTGCCCACAGTATCTCAGTGTATTAAGGAAGTTACACTGAAGTAATGTTTAACATCTGAGAAATTGGGTCACTCGGAGTTTAACGTGGACTGGAGCCACAAAAGCAGCGTCTATAAATGAAATACCTAGAAGTATTTCAGTAAAATTCAACAGAAAATGTTTTTTTTTTTTTTTTCCTGCAAAAATCTGGCTTCTCTGATCCAATGCCAGAGCAGTGAGAAGCAAACAGGTCACAGCATCCTGAAGGAGTTGGGGGGTGGGAGGGAAGCGAGGTTATTTAACCCATACCCCTTACCTCCAGGTCTGTGCAGCATCCCCAGCCTGCACGTGGAAGCCTCCCCGGACAGCAGTCCCCAGGAAGGAAGGAAAGACACCGACACCAGAGCCTGCCATTCCTCCTTGCTTTGAAACCTGCGGATGCTGCATAAAACCTGATTCATGGGTAGATCAGATACCGCTGATGAAGCCTTGATAGCATGTCCTTGAAATGAGAGCGAGCACTGACAGCTACTGGCAAGAGACAGAAAAAAAGCTCACCTCCCTTATTTTCTTTTCACAATGAGCAAAATTACTGAAGTGTTGCAGTAAAGCACAAACACCCACCTGCAAACAAGAGAGCTAATTATCGCTGTGGAGTAACTTTCATTCTTCTGCATGAAAAAAAAAAATAAATGCAAAGCAGTGTCTCATCTAAGGATCATTAGCTGTCTCGAAATCCTCCTGTGACTAAAGGTGTTTCTTTCTGATAGGCACTATCAGAAAAAGGAGCAAAGAACACTCGGAGCTTCAAAAGATCCGTCTCTGCCTCTAACACTGTGGCCAAGCCTTTAGCACCTGTTGGGGCAGCTATCAAAAGATGCCCTCGGGTCATAGCACAGCCCTGCCATTTAATTTGCAGGGCCCTTTTGAAAGAAGTACCTGAAGTGGTTTTTTAAGCAGGGACTTCAGAAACGGGGGGAAAGGTCTCCCCACATAAAAAGGTCTGACAAAAAGACTTGAAAAAGTACTACCACAACCGTGAAGCATCTACGCTCTTCAGAGCAAAATGTGCGCGCCAGCCTCACTTCTCAGGATCTGACAAGTTCAAAGTTTTGCGCGTAGGGAGGAGAAGTATTGCTCTTTCTCCTTCTGAGACAGTAGCATAGAATGGAGGGGACTGCCGACAGCTTTCAAAACGCATCAGTAGTATGGTCTGTACCTTAAATGCACGCCAGTACCTACCTGCCAAAAATGAATCAAAGAATGTAATTTATGGCTGCATTAGTGAGGAAAAGCACAGCATCTCTTACCTAGAAGAGCTGGAAAGCCTCGACGTTGCCATATATGCTAGCGCCCGGACAATCTGCCCACAGCGGTCAGCATCCATGGACAGAGGAGGAAGTAAGGCTGCCACTCCCTGTAGTGCTCAGAAATCACAAGCCAGCCAGCTGTCTGTCCACCCTTCCCCCCAAAAGAAAAAAGTTGTTTCAATTTTATTTTTGAGCCGCACGTTTAATGGCTTAAAAAAAAAAAACACCAACCAGAAAACTAGCTTTTTGAGTTTTCTTCACCATCACGGGAACAAAACTAGCTAAAAATGAAAGCACAGACTCTCACATGACTTTATCACCACAATACTTACGAGAACGTTGGAAGAGCAGGGCGATGCGTACCGCTGTCATCCTCGGAGCTCCCAGCAGCGCAGAGGCGGTTAGCCTTAAGCTTAGGCTCAGCGTTCTGGTAGAATCTGTAACAGCCCCTTGCTTTTAGCCTTTGCAGTTTGGCAGCAGCAAATGCTTGTTTAAACAGTGCTCAAGAAGCCCTTTAGCTTAACCTTAAGTTTCTTCACCCACCAACTTTGCCTGATGCTTTAAGGATAAACATCCTACAGTGGTTTTTATCAGAATTGTTTGAGGGAAATCCACGTGTATTTGGACGATCTCGTTAGACCCTTCACTGCACTGGCAGTTGTAGAGCCTTGTGCAATTGGAAAAAGGATGACTTGTGCTTGACAGATGCTGGTCACATTGAGCAATACCTTCTGGGAAGGACCTCAGATGCTCCAGCCGTGAAATTGTGCATAGCCAGAGATCAGCACTGGATGCATAAAAAAATAAAGGAGTGAGCAGTTGCATTTTTGTGCGCTCAGAATACTTAACAGCTTTTAAAAAAGCGTCTCACTTCCCCTCTTTTTTTCCCCCTCTCTTACTCAGAACCAGCAATGATTACATATGCATCAGGAAGACTGCATGACCACAAACACGGCCAGCAACAGTCTTACAGCAACCGTGCACCCCAATAAAAAGGCAGTAAAACCATTCTGCTATCTAAATGGACAACGTGACCCCCAGCCGTTCAGTGAAGCATCCTGTACACACTGCTTTTACCAGGTTTGATGCTTCTCAAGATTTTCATATCAAAACTTACCCCTGGCAAACTGCTACAGATCCCATTGCAAGTTCTGAGACACCCAGGGAACTGCATGGACCACCACAGAGCTGCTTTTCAATGTACACGGGAGCAAAAATGCAGTATTAGAGCATTCAGGGGAATGGTGCTGCTGCCCACGTGCACCGTCCTTCTCAAATACACGCTTACTGGAGGCAACGCTTAGGATCAGCACTTACTCATAGCTTTTAGTACAGTTAGACTGGAATTTAGATGTTTGAGACCAGGTTTAAACGTGCCTTGGAGGAGCTATTCCTGCAGACCCCCAAAGACTTATGTCACTCACCATTATGGATTCAGAAGCACTTATCAATTGGGGGAATCTGCATAAAATACAAGAGCCAGCAAGGAGCTAAATATGAATTAAGAGTTTAGGAACTACTCAGGCAGGCACCTGGGTTGCTTCTAGATCTTAAAAGATTCATTTCACTCGAGCTTTTATTAAATCTTTAGGAAAAAAGCCTAATAGATTGACAACTTCTATAAGATATTATCAGCAATGCTAATTTGAATATGCACAGAAAGTTGAATGCTGCATGAATAAAGCCTGAATGCTTAAAAGCCAGCATTTAAGACAAGTAGACACTCAGCTACAGTTCTCTCTGAAGCCTAAGTCAGTAAAACTCATTTTTGTCCCTATTAGTCAGAATGACTGAAGCACATATTTTGTAACACAGTTTCAAGCTCCTTTTTGGAATGGAAAAAATTTGTCCCAGTTATGTAAGTGCAGCCTGGTATGTGGATTACTCTTAAATACATGCATTTTATGCATGACTTATCTAGATAGGACAAAGGAAAGTGGGTGACTTCCTAGCAACTGGGCACAGATACAAAGCTTCTGCTGCTGAGTAGTTGAGGATGCGACTGGTAAAAATTATGAAAATATTTAAGTTTTACTATTACTTAGATACTACATTAAAAAAAAAAAAAGATGAGCAAGCAATTCAAATCTAATTGGGGTGTAAGATTTTATTTGAACTGTAAAATTGTACAACAGCCGAGTGCAAATCAGAAGCTTTTATTCTTTTAAGCTTCGCAGTTGAACCCAATCACTTTAACAGATTATATTGATACAGCACTTCATGTTCTTAGTGAACATTTACGCTTTGTGAAAGTTACCCTAGACTATCTCTAGCAGGAAAATTCTCATTTCTGACCAGTTTAAAGCTCAGACTGGAAATTTATTAAACATTTACCTGCTTTCAGGAGTCCTTAGATTTTAAGTAGAACACATAAAGGAATTAGTTTCTAAACAAGCAATTCTACTATTATAAACACCACTGGTTTTTATGTGCATACATTGCTAGCATCCATCCAGGACCCAAAGAGGTAAGCACAGTTAAAAAGGACAAAACTCCTACATGTTAAAAAAAGACAAACAAGCAAAACCAAAACAAACGTGCACACAGAGCAGGAAAAAGTGCTTTAACAGCCTCCATCCTTGAATCTCTGTACTTGTAACTCTACAACTTGATATAAGAATATTTTCCTGCATATTCTACTTGGAAAACTGCACTGTAAAGTTAATCAGATCTTCAGTGACTCTGGGGAAGAATCCCTGCTGTCAAAAATTTACTGGGTTGGAGGATGGATGACTGCACTGCTGTCAAAAATGCATCTTTTTTGGTGGATGGATGACTACAGAGTTTGATGCTTATTTTCAAGTAGCTGTGAGTATCTGACAAAGTCCCTGTTTAAACATGGAATTCTGTTTTAATATTTAATTTTATTTTGCAATGGCTTGCAATTTAAGAAAGTCTTCCAGAACCCAGAGTTTAGATTTGCAATGTTTATTATGAATTACATTCATGGTGCAATGCAAATTACACAAAAAGATAGACATGAAACATAAAAAGACTACATGAAGCATGTACCATTCAGTAATGCACACAATACCTGATGAACTCTTATTTAGGCTAGAAGTGTTCTTAACAACTGTTAAAAAGAAACTGAAGTCAAAAAGATAAATAATTGGATTGAGAAACTCCTTCATTATTTAGGTTTTTAAAAATTAAAAACCCTTTTGTGTTGCTTAGCATACTAGCAACGCAAAAAAAAGCAATACCCTGCTCTTCCCCAGCATGTAAAAGAAGGTTTTCACTATTTCAAGCCTTGATTAATTTTCAATTAATCATCTTGTCCTTCATCAAAAGTAGTCACAAAAATCAATTTAGCACTTTGCTTCCAGATCAGTTTGAAAATACAAAAATTAAACTGTAGCATACACATAATTATGTGTCAGCATATAAGTTTAAAAATATGGTATGTAAAAGGTTAGAGATCAAGATGGTCCAACATACGTACTGCTAAAAGAAATGACACAATGACAGCTTTGAAATACATTACACAACTCTGTCCATATCAGAAAAGTGTATTTACAGTACATATCCAAAGTAATTCCAGCAGTATTCACTGACAAACCGTGCTAGTGCTTTGTGGACGGATCCAAAGATTTGCAACTGACTTTACAGCCTCTCCTCACATGTTATATAAAAAAAATAATCTAGCTGGCTAAGTGCAAATAAGCAGCAATTTCTTCCACCAGTCAGATTTAGGTGGCAGTTTAATTTTACTTCACTCTGTCAAATACAAACATTTCACTAAAGTGATGTTTTTCTGACCTTCAGTATGCGAATGGTTTAGTGACTTCAGGAGATATTCTTCCTTATTTAATCTATGCATAATGTTAGTAAGAGGTCCTAAGGACAGATTCTTGATATGTAGTTTAAACTAAGAGTATGCATTTGCCTAGCAGTGACAAAATGACAGCCCAGAACATCTCCTGGGCATGACAGAACTATGCACTTCAGGAGAACAGGTTCTTTCATGTGCTAATTCTAAAAAAAGGTTAGCGAGAGGTGTGTTCTCAGCCACCCACTTTGGGAACTCTAGAGCTGTGAAACGGATACGTTGTGCATCTGAACTGAAAATGAGTCTCAAGCTCTGATTTTTGGACAGATGACCATAATGAGGACATTACTGCTTTAGCACCTCAGCACAGCCAGCACATGCTCAATGGGTTGTAAAGGCTACACGTATTGGCAAACCACAATTTTAATTAATAAATTTGGTTTTGTGCATTTGTATGCACAGCCTGTTCAAGAATTACAGAGGGCTTGTAAACCTGGACGTAAGCTTTAAGTTCCTGTAGGAAACTCGGTGAGGATCAAATATGCCCAAAGGAATTAATCATGTATTTAATATCAGTATAGATATGCACTCTAATATGCACTATAAAGAAGTAAGCATCCTTAACGATTGCTATTCAAACACATCTTGTATGTTAGTAGCACTTCTTCAGTCTGTTTTTAGAATTACTCTGAAGTAAACCCTACAGCACAGTGTAGTACTTCACAGCCAATTTTTCAGTACTACTACTGAACTTTTTTGTAAAACCCTGCTCTTGAGGCTTAGCAAAGAAAATACTCTGAATGCCTTCAGAGTCCTTCTCTGGCTCCAGGTTGCTGTACATCCCTTAGAGCAAACAAAAACGGTGCCAGAAAGTCATTGCTCCAGAGCCCAGGAGAACCTCAGGTGTATCCCTCATGTGACGTGGGACTACCAGAAGCAGTGGAACCTCCAAAGACCCTGAATGGACCTTAGACCTCTGCATCTTCAGATGGGCACTCACGCTCAGAACTCACCTCAGAGCAGAAGAGTCTAGCAAGTGCTCATTCACCAGCTTGCTGGTATGACAACTCTCAGCTTAAATGTTCCTGCAAGCAACTTTATTAAATAAAAATAATAATAAAAAAAAAGACACCAAAGCAGAATAAAGCAGATAAACATTTTAAGTCAAGCACTGCTTCTGAAAGCATGATGTAAAGGAAGAATCATTCCAGACTAAGCTTTCAGAAGAAAGTCATTAACTACAGCTTCCTCTCTGCCCCCCAGTGAAGGCAAATTTGCACGTGGGAAAGTTTTGAACAATGAGTGTCACAGAAATACACTTTCTAAACTGTGTCTGAGTTAAAGTTCACCATTATTAATGCATTAAATGTGTATCAGCATTGCACTTGTCAAATGTCTTCCTATTCAATGTTGACAAGAAACATTCAAACGTCAATAAGAGTTTAGAAATCACTATAAAAACAAGTTAGTACAAAAGTTCCATGGTTTCTGGAGCTGGCTTCAAACATAATGCACACAAAGAGGTACGAAACTTATTCCAGTTCTGGTAATGTGGTATTAAAACTTCCAAGAGCTTTAGAAAAGGAATATATGAGAAATACAAAACCAAATGACAAGAGTTCTCTGATACTACTGCAGTGTTCACGCCAAGTGACATCCAAGTGTTGAGGCAAACCATACGTGAGCATCTGTGCGTTCCACTTCACATTCCCATCTGCATTTCAGCAAAGTTGTAGAAATTGTCTACATCTTGAGACGCTGATGCCTTGCTCTCCGATACAAAAACCTATTTTATTAAACAAGGGAAGAGTTATGCATCACTACTAGCAAGTAGGTAGTTTTTGCTTGTTCACAGACAGTCACGATTCTTTTTATTTTTGCTTTTTATGAGAGGCACAAATCACTTGGTTTCCACTATGCGTTCGAACAGCCTTTGAATCCTTTGAGCCCTGATGCACCCTTTGTTACTGTGACCTGTTCCTAGCAGTCACACAAGCTGCAGTAACAGTAGCCTTACACTGACAAGAATCAAAAGTTTAGACAAAATTATTCAAGGGCCACAGCTTAAGCTAGTATATGGTTAGATGTATTTTGCTTGGTAAACTGTCTGCAGGGCTGGGAGTAGGGAGAGGAAATGGATAATGGAAATGGATAATTACAGGAATGTAGGATTATTCCAGATAATCACGCTCGTACAGTCCTGTTTTTCTGCTTCAGCTCAGAGTATCCTATCAGCATAAACTATGACAGTTCCCTAAATTGGTTTACTTTTAGCATGTTCTAAGATGTATATCCTTTTGTCCAGCAAATTTCAGGTTTCAGAACAATAACTAAAAAAACCCTATTTCATCACAAAGCAAGCAGCTTCCTAAACTACTGTTTGGAGGTGCAGTAGACTCCTGTTTGAAGGGACATGACAATATCTGTTAATTATTTGGCAGTTTGCTGGTGCAACAGCAATTTGTACCATGGCCGTAACAGTCGAGCACGTTCTGTCAGTATCCTTCCCTACCAGGATATTGCAATTTACATTCTGCAGAGGATTTTATAAGTTACAAGTCAAATGAACAGCACCAAAAAAAAAATGCAATTTAATAATAATAATAAAGGCAGAAGATCACACCAGAAAGAATGTCAGAAGTAAACAGTGCAGATCTACCTAGTCCACACAGAGTGGAGCTCCACTTACGCATATATAGCATAGAAATCTCCTGCTAACACACAGTGTCTACCAAGCAGCTCTAAAAGCTCTGGTTGTGCTGTTGCTGATGAACTTTTCTACCCTTTCTAGAGTATCTCAGGAGGTTTATCAGATTTATTTCAGAAACAAATGTCTTGTAAAATTAAGTTTATTAATGGATGAAGTCAGTAATTTTTAACCGTGGCTTTCAAATGCAAATATAACTACCTGCTTAAAAATCAGACTAGCTTCCCACTAACTCTTACAAGATAAATATCTTCCTAAGAGTTTTTGTCATTGCTTTGTGATGAAGGGTACCTACACTTCTTTCTGAGCGCTCTACCAACTCTCAAACTGCCCCAATGATAAAGGCAATGAGGTGAAAGCATTTTATAGAGCTTTCCTGAACCTTCTGGTAGTATTAAGTCTGAAGTTTGTTACTCCCTAAATTGCTTCTAAATTATGTCCTAAGAAAGAAATACATTTCCTATAAATACAGGTTGAGAGAGCTGGGGCTGCTCAGCCTACGGAAGAGAAGGCTCTGGGGTGACTTCATCGCAAACTTCCAGTACTTGAAAGGACTTAGAAAAAAGATGGAGAGCAACTCTTTGCTCAATCAGACATTGACAGGACAAGGGGGGAACGGTTTTACACTAAAAAGGGGGAGATTTAGATTAGACGTTAGAAGGAAATTCTTCAGGTGGTGAGGCCCTGGCACAGGTTGCCCAGAGAAGCTGTGGATGCCCCATCCCTGGAGGTGTTCAAGACCAGGTTGGATGGATCCCTAGGCAACCTGATCTCATGGGTGGCATCCCTGCCTATGGCAGGGGGGGTTGGAGTTAGATAATTGAGGTCCCTTCCAACCGAAGCCATTCTACGATTCTATGATTCCTAAAAACATGTAGTTGTGATATGTAAGTATCTAGAGATCCATTAAAAAAATTCAGCTCTTATTGGATGTTTTGGGGTTAAGTTTTTATCTAAATAAAAGATAGTTAGTTCCCAGGAAGCCCAAAGTCCTGATTCTTAATTCACTTAATGTTACTTAGTGTAACAAGTGTTTGGGAAGTAAGGTAGACTTTACTGTGGGGCCAGGCTGTAAAGAGTAGTTTTGAATCCAAGAGCAAGAAGTAATTCCACATTTGTAACCTTCAAGAAAAATGATTACTTCACAGCAGGAAGTGCATAGCCTGAGTTTCCTGGATGCATGTCAGATCCGGGCATTCACTGCATTATGACAACAGATGCCAGTCATTTTAGTGAGGAAAGTATAAATTTTTATATGTTCTAATAATTAATATCACTTCAGCCTCTGAATAGAGAAACTGAGATCTAGAAGAATAAGTTAATTACCCACCCACTATCAGCCTTGTTCTGTATGAAAAGAATATGTTAACTATACCAAAAAAAAAAAAAAAAAAGCCACTGTAAGCTCCCAGTCAAAAAGGTGAATTTTATGGTAAAAATTGCAGAGACCTGTGGGGAGCAAGGAACAATCAGTAATAGCACTGTCCAGGCTGTAGTTCTTGTACTCTCCAGACTCGGAGATCTAATTTAAGGCCTGCAACACATCAGGGTTTTGCTAATGCAATAGTAAACCCAAAACAAAAGCATTAGCTGCATTTCAGGTGACAATGACTTATTAAAAGACTGTTTTCTAGAATCTGTGCAGTGTAGTTTCCTGAGCAATTCTTTTGAGAGGAACTGAAAGATAGCAAGGAGCTGTATGGACACTGTATGTCCCAAAGACATTCCAGTCTTCGCTGAGCAGCTTGAAAGCAAAGGGTTTGTCCCTTTCCTACTATCAGTAATGCTGCTTCCTTGCAGTGCTCTAATTGTTACCAGACACTTTCTCAAATCCACTGCCATTGAAAGAAATGGGGACAGCAACCAAAAAGGAAGTATGGTATAAAGAAGCTACAGTAAAACAAGTTGACAGAAGAAAAAAGCAAAGTATATTTGAAGGAAGGCATTCTGCAATATCCTTCACATCAAAAGTAAATCTTGAGAGAAGCTGAAATACCATCGTATCTTTGTCAGGGTTTAATAAAGTAGGACATGACAAAGCAGACTTCAGTGTAAGACCTGGAGGAGAGCTTTACCCCACTACATTTATAAAGTTTGTTTTTACTACTATGTGGAATAACAGTTTTAGGTGGAAATACTCTATTCTTTAGTAGGTATGGAGATTTAGTGCTCTTTCCTAGGGGCAATTTTTCTCCTCTCCTAGAAGCGAACTTGAGTTCTGTGTAAAACAAAGAAACAAAAACCCCACAACTGGGATACTTGGATTTTACTGTGCAGAAACATAAAATGAACATTCAGTACGTCAAAACTACAGCTCGACCACAAAATGTCTTAGATATCCTGTAACATTTTCTGCTAATAAATCAACACACCAGCTTACCTTGGTTCCATTAAAAACATCATTTACAGTGCTTTGACATGCTTCCACAGCACCATCTCCATTGAACTCCAAAGCAACTACTGGACCTAGAAGATAGGTTCATCTAAAATCAATACCATTTCTAAGCAGTGAAACATAAGATTTCTCATCTCTTCACAAATTGTGAAACTTGCAATAACCATTTGATTTTTTGTTGTTGTTGTTTGAGCAGCCATAATACAGGATAAAAAATAAAAACAAGCATAATTTCAAAGCACAACGTTATCTGAAAAGAAAATATCTGCAGTACCATGCTCATTTTTGCAGAGGCTCTAGCAGGTTTCCAGCTTTATTTCTTGAAAGGCAGCAATGGCACAGAAATGCTAAAGAGTGGAGGGCATCATGGAAGTGAGTCAGACTATACTGCTCAAATAGTGAGCCATTTCACAGACATCTGGAGTAGGACTGAGTCATTCAGGCATTTTTACCTCAGTACCAAGATAGCAAATGGCCTGACTTTCAGACTTATTCTCACCCCCCTATTTCCAGATCCCCCTTCTCTTCTTTCATTTTGAGCATGTTATTTCTTCCCACATGGGTGCAAACTAGCCCTTAAACGAGTCTGTCATCTAGAAAGTGGAACTTTTGTCCTATTCTTGCAATGAGCACCATGGACCTCATATTATTCTGAAAAAAATGCATGTTGCTGCTATGTTTGGGAGCGTGTACTGAGCTTCAGCATATAACAGATGGCAGGATGTCAGCACTTCTACGGGAACAGACAAAAACCAATTACAGACAAATCAACAAAAAAGCTTTTGAAGTACTCTGACAGTACACCGTTTATAAACAGGAATTTAACACTTGCCTACTTTATAGACATCCACACTGATTTGCTTCAATGTGTGTACAGAAACACTGAACATCTAGGTTGCTCACCTCTACTGTGATAAGCCAAAATATTTTGATTATAGAAACAGGAGCTTTTGTTGACCACCCCAAACAGATCTGCTGGCGCCCCAGCTCCTGAGCTATGCAGTTGGGCCACTAGAGGGGGGGCAGAGCCATGAAGTACACGTGGATTTGTTCATTTCTGATGCCTTCAGTTTTGACTGGATCAGGGCCTGTCTGAGGCTTCCAAAATTCACCTCAGCTGGCTTTACACTGCAGATTTGTCCTTCCTTCTTCTCCGGAATGCTCCACGGCCAGCTAGCCTTCTGTATCAAGAAGAGAAACAAAGCAATGCATAATCTCACCTTTTTCAAGCAGTGGAATGAATTCCGATGCACACTGACGGAAAACTCTCTGAGCATCCTCTGCTTTCATTGGGACTTCTTTGGTCTGTACCAGCTGAAAGCCTTTGCCAGTCATCTATTAACAGATAAAGAATTCAGGTTAAAAATGTTTCTAAGGCACACAGTCCAGCTCCAGTATCCAAACTACACTGGAATAGACCCATATGCTTTAAGCCACAGAGCAAAGGGACCCTTTTTCCTCCTTTCAAAGAGGATTTTCTACAATTCTGTTTATTTTCATTCCATTCATCCAGATTTAGTCCTCTGCCTTGGTGCACCTAGAGGGGTAAATGTGAATTTGTGCTTTATGTTATGGCTCAGGTTGTGTATTTTTTTTTCCCCACAATCCCTGACAAGCTGAAACTAATAGGAGTTAAAAGCATTCAAGCATCTGGAGTCAAGCAGTTAGTTCTCATTAGTCTGCAATAGTTCAGACAAGTAAGTATTAGTTCAAACACTCATCTACCCACTCCTGCAGTTTTTCATTTTGGAAAAAAAAAAGTTACAAACTTTCAAACACACAGCATTTTACTTCAGATTTAGTATGAAACTAAAGGCACGTGAAGAACAAACAACTATGTTTGTACTTCCAAATCATTCATTAGTAAGGGCAGTAAGATTGCCATAGCATTTGTCTAAACTAGTCTTTTAGAATCTCTGTAACTATTACTTTCAAAGGGGACAAACACAGGAGAACACCTCTAATATCCTCTTTACTGCAGGTACTCCTTCTTCAGAAAAAATACCCCAAAATATCTCCCTTCACTCAAGTATCTTTTGGTAGCTCAGTTCCATCAAAATCCAACTGGGGGAGGCATGGAAACACCCTAGAGCTTTTTTTTCTCCTCCCTTGTAGTTAAAAAAAAACAAGGCGAGGAGCTCCATCAGTTGTTTTGTTGCTCACCCACCACTGGGATCAGCAGCTTTTGCAGATATCTCTTTCAAGCTGTAGCTCAGTTACTGGCTCTGCTCTGTCATCCCTGGCACTCCAGAGTGCTAAAAGCAGCCAGCCACTCCCAGATTTTAGCCCAGTGAAGCCCAAACTCAGCCAAGCTTAGGAGCTCCTGCCTGACAGGAAAAGAGACAGCACCAGCTATTTAAGTAATCAAAGACAGCTGACCAGCTGTGACAAACACTCACTGCCTTTTCCAGAAAACAAAAACAAAAACAATACAACACTGAGTTGGGGAAGGAATAGAGAGGGGGTTAAAATTTAACATGTTATTTTTAGCTCTGTTAGCACTGCCAAAGCTTTCAGGACAGATAGCCAATTAACTTTTTAGCTTATTGTCCCAGAAGTCACAGCTATCAAGGCTATCTGCCTTCCACAAGCATTGCCAATCGTTTACATTTGGCCAAGTTCATCGAATGAACTACACATTTTCCTCAGAGTGTAGGTTTGGTGTGCTGTGCTGGAAAAATACGTTGGGACTATTAAGGGACAGATGTGCCAAACACAGGATGTAAAATAACTGTTCAATCAGGTGAGCTCCATTCTCTTATCTCACTATAAGGTTTTAAGAAGTTCAGTCGATTACTATGGTTAGTAGACATGCAGAATCTCACCATTCCCCCTTCAGTTAGCACCACGGCTATCCAGAGGAAAGTTCAATTAGAAATTCATAAAGTTGAACACAGAAGAAGGTTACTTACCTCATCAATTAACTTTCTGGCATTTGCAGTCGTATAGTCACCAGCAAAAAACACAGCCAAGCACGATTCCTCGCTGCTTTTCTGTCTCCGCCCTCGAGTTATTGGTATTATGCTCCTCATAGCATCCGTAGAAATTCTGACAGCTTTCAGCTCTTCAGAGCTGGGCAGAGGAACATAATCCTGAACCACAGCATTCTCGGGCAAAAGGCCCCAGTTATTTTCTCCTGACACAGGGGTAAAGTCATGGATGTTGCTCCATGTGTTATTGAAGATACTCAGTCCAGCATCTTTAAATTGCAAAGCAAGCTCAGGGTAATAGTACTGGAAACAGCCAAATTTCATACCTGTGGAGGACTCAATAATGGGCTGGGTAGCACAACACAAGAACACCTCCAGCTTTCTGCAGTCCCGAGTGCGAAACTGTTGGCAGGCTACTATGCATTTGCAATCTTTGCAGTCACGGAAAAACACGCTGCCTTTTATTGGTCCTAAAAAGATTTGGCAGTTTACACAGTCATCAACAGTGATTGTAGCGGAATGGTCAAATATGTAGATGCTACAGTTCTCGCAGTCCTGAATGATGAACTGTTGCCCTGCTACTTTTCCAGGCAGTCGACCCACAGTTTCATCTTTAAGTCCAGAAAAAGTGTAATCTTTTGGGTCAATCTGAAGGAAAGAGAAAAAAATAAAATAAAATGTGAAAGTCTTCACATACAGAGAATATTCTAATGCCAAATGTTAATCAGTTTGGATTAGCTGAGATATTACAGAACTGTACAGGATAACTTTTCTTTGAAGAATATTCTGGCAGGTTATCAGAGTGATGAAAGATTGGAGGAAGCTCTTTTAGCTAAGCTACTGGAACACATAGTATTGAGGTACAACAACAAAGTGAAACAAAACTTGATATTCCAAAATAAATAAATAAAACCCACCACAACTCAGCTTGTTCTCTAATAAGGAAATGGTGTGTGTGTGTGTGTGTGTGAAGAGAGCTTTCTCTGAGAGATCTAAACCGTTCCAACAAAAACGATTGTCCTGGGTATTCCATTAATATCAGCAATAAATGAATTGGCCAAGGTACTTAAAGATTCATAAAGCTAGGAAGAGATAGTATTTCGAGCAGCTCTCTTGGTCTTATGTTACCACGCCTCGACACATTGCAAGGAAACCTTGCTACCTCCAAGCAGCATCTCCTCTGTTATGTTTGCAAACAACAAAGCTTGCTTAGCCATGCCACAGCAGTATCTTGTGCTAAGAGCCCTGGGCTTTTTGTGCTACCGACAGCTCCATGACTGTGTTAGCTATGAGTAACAAGCGCGCGCTGGCAGTGCTGGTGTACAGGTCACGCTCACAGACCTCTCCTCCTCCACGCCCCAGCATTCTTCCGCCTGGGAGGGACGCTCAAGGGGAGCTGTGGCACTCCCCAGCGCGGTCGGCTCGGAGCGGTGCCCGAAGCTGCACAAGGGCCGGCATGTGATGCACGGGCACTACAGCAGCTGCTGCCATGACGCTGAAGGAATCCGAGCCGGGTTACTGCACAGTCACGGCAGTGCTGCTTCCCAGAGCAGATTCTACTCTGCCCCCTGGTGCAAGCTCATTAACATAGCAGTTGGAAGTATGCGAGTACCTGAACTAGTCTAACACCAACCAGATCACTTCAAAGCCTCCCACTTCATTCAGTCTGAACGCCTTAAAGCTTGTGCGCTGTAAGCAGGGTTAATGCATTGCAACAGCTCCCAGAGAGCTCAATTTGGATGAAATTCCTCCTCCCCAGTATCTCAAACTCGCACAAGATGAGATACCACAAAAAGGTCTCTAGTCTCTAAAACCACAAACCAGGATGGGCTTGCGTCAGACATTCAGTACAACAGCTCAGTATATGTAGGTTTTGTCCAGAATAGCTACTGGAAGCTCTAAGTGTAGATTAACTGACCAACTGTGCTTTGATACACATCATATCTGACTTCCTGACACAAGACTATGCTTGTAGCTGATGAATCTGCTCCATGAACGCAACCCAGAAATCTCCCCCTCAGCCATATTCAGTATCACTAGCAGACATCCAGGAAGAGTTACAGGACTGGGAGGCTCAGATGATAAGCAGCACAGCACGGAGACCCAGCTGTACGATTAGGAATCAAACCCTCTAAGGTCGTAAGCAAGTCTCACATAATGGTACTTACTTGATCCAATAGGGACTCTCAAGACACTGAGAAAATTTCAGTATCAAAGCTGCCATTAGATTCTTCCCGTGCATCTCCTAGCACATACATGCACACATCTGTGTTTATGAACTTGGGAAACAGACACACTGCCTTGGAAACAGGGTTCGGAGGAACAGTTACTTCTCTTAGGAAGGGGAAGTTCAAAGTTTCCGGAACTTGCAGCTTTTCTGAGCCTTAGCAACTACTTGTGTCCTTCTAAATCAGTCTCTTCTAAAAGCCTCTGGAGCAGCACTAGTTTGTCCTACACTGAGGTCTTTGCAGACGTGTGAAACTTCACCTTGTGATTTTATTTAGGCCTATGTGAAAAACACCAGTTAGTCAGCTAACCCACAGGTTACAGAGTCTCAGAGACTCTCGGAGAGAGCCCTTGAGAAAAAGAGCAGTATTTGAGTTTAACGATAATCTGTATTGATTCAGGAGCTCAATTTTATTTCCCTGATGTGAATTAAGAGTTGTGCAGTGATGCAACTCTTACTTCTCAGTTTGTTCACCACTCTAGGGAGTTTGCCAATTTCCTTTAATTTTGCCTTGAGTTTTCCTTGTATAGAGCAGGAGTATTTATTGACTAACACAGCCACAGGCACTAGAGGGACCAAGCAAGATACATGTAGACTTCAGCACTCTCCCGGCCACACCAGGTTATTGGCCTTGAGAGCAGGCAGTAAGCCGAGCAGCTGTAGCTGCTCGAATATTGAAGTGAAGAATATTTCACTTCCCCTGAGTAACAGAAACACCTTAGAGAAACAAGCATCAAAGCAGAACTATAATTTTAAGGATGCACACACACTTAGCACCGAGTTTCACGCTTAACAGTACTGAAGTCTACAGATACCATCAACAGGTTACTGCCACATCGGTATATCCACCTTTCTTCCCTGGAGACGGGCAGCACTAATTGCTTCAGTAAACAAAGCAGACCAGGAAATACAAAGCAACAAAAGAGAACGTCTGAAGATTCACACACTGATAACCATGGCTACTTAGATCCTCTGCCTACTCATTTGGTGAATTTTTGTTGTAAAATCTTGAGCACGTGGCAGGTCAGCTACAGAAAAATCACCAGGTTGGTAACTCATCCACCTGTCATTCACATTTGGACAAAGCTTCAGAGAACCCTGTCCAATGCTACCCACCTCACCCAGACACGAGTTTTACCCCCCATCCCTTAAGAGATGTAATTTTTTTAGCTCCTTTTTCCAACCTGGTGTAAATCCAAACAATGACAGTATTTATAGATGCAACTTTAAAACTACTCTTTCATCTGAATTTAGAGAGACAGTTTGGCATTAATAGATACATGCAGAGCTCAAGAGTTGAAACCTTATAATCAAAATGCTACATGTAGGTTCAGGAATTACTTCATATAGTAATCTAAATAACCAAATGTGATGATCAAAGAAAAAATAAATCCCTGCTAGTTTTTCCCCCTTAGCAAAAAAGAAGGGGACATCTCATCTTTGGTTGTTGGAAACAACATCAGTGCTAAGTCCATTACAAAGGACTGGAGAATGAATTTTAAGAGTGAAGATTTTAAAGCACAAAGAAAGGAGAGAAACAAAGGCAAGCAAAAGTTTGTCAAGGTTGCTTTGAACTCTAGTAAGTTCTGCTACAACAAGTAAAAGATGTATTATGCAGCTTTGCTCCCTGCAAACGCTTGTCTTGTGTCTGGCCGAGGCCAGACATGAAGGCTGCAGATGAAGTACATCTCTTCAGCCACCATCACCCAGCTTACCGGCACCACAACCAGGCAGCTCCCATTTGGAAGAAGACCAAGAAGTCCTAGATCCTCACAGTTTCCCATGGTAGCTGTCCCTAGAATCACCAAGGTTCCTAACAGTTTCCTTCTGCTACGACTTCATGTGCTAACAAGACTTTTTCACCTAGTCAATCAGGAAAGGTGTCTTAGTCAGCAATGATACACTACTGCAAATACAAGGAGGCACTGCAGTTCTTAATGGATTGTGGTTATCCCCTAGTTCCTTGTTTCTAGCCTGCAAAGCAAACAATAATTTTAAAGTCTTTCTAAACCACTGACACAGGTGGGTTTTTTTTTGTTGTTTTTTTAAGTATCATCTCAAAAAAAATAATTCCCTATCTCTCTAAATCATAACAGACAGTATTTCAGCTACAGACTTGCATGCACTTCAGGGTATGTAAGAGTTGGCTGCTGACATGGTGACATTAAAAACTGCCGGTACAGGGTGGGTACATGGACTTCAGAAGCTTTACGTACTAGTTTTGTCAGTAGGGGAATTAACAGAAAGAAAATAGAGGAAATAGGCATCCCAGGCCTATATGCTTCTGCATATTCATACTTCTATGGGTTGGTGCCCTTCAGCACTATTGCAACATCCTCTGGAGAATGGGTTTGTTGAAGTTACTCACCTCTGGCTGATGTCTAGATTCTCAGGCAGCAAGAAAAGGTGGAAAGAAGTACAACACATGCAGAATCTAGTCACTAGCACACAGTTTTTCATCTTGGAGTATCTCCTGTACACCTTGACTTTAAATGTGACCAGTACAACGCCAAGCCACATTTCACTTTGTTCTTCATAATCTTCCCCCTTTTTCAGCATGCCAATAATAACAGTAAATGGTCATTCTCATACTTTTCTGAACAACAAACTTTTACCAAATACTACACATAGAAAAATAGGAAGAAATAAAGAGCTCCTACACACTTTCATCAGACTTAACTCAAAATGTTGTTTAATATTAACCTGTTGGCTGTTTCTCAATTGGTAGACTACAGTTTGAGAAATACAGTAGTTTTTCTAGTGCACCGAGAAGCTTAAGGGAGATGCATCAGATTTAAGGATAAAATCTCCCACTACCTAGAGAGAAAAAAAGCAAGAATAAAGATTTTGTATTTATTCAAAAATAAAATGTTATGTGAAAGAGATAATAATGATATGGGTACATCAGCTCAGACCACTCCAGCAAAACCCTCAAACGTAAACTAACAGAAGACTATGATTTATGTAGGAAGTTAAAGTCCTGTTGTTTTGTTGTTGTTGTTAAGTTTGAACACAGCTATCACAGCCTGATAGTAATGATTGTTACATGTTCCCTATCAAGCACAGCAGTTTATCTGCAAATCAATTGACATGAAACAAAATCTTAACTTGTTCCTTCAAAAAGGGAAAAAATCTGGAAGGAAAGTTCCTCTAAACTTTGAACGTCACTGCAATCATAATTCATCTAATCCTACTTCTTTGAAGATGAAAAACAGGAAAAAAAACACAACAACACTATGCAGCTTTGTGTGTTTCTTCTCATGCAAAGAAGATCACAGCTCATGGCTTTATCAGCCACCTCAAGACACACAACCCCAGTTCCTCTCTCCGTGCACCCACATTCTGTTAGTGCTGTGAGTTATCATTCTGGTCCTGCACGTAACACTGTTCACTCACACAAAATGCCATCGGGTAGGAGAGGAAGAGGGAGACTGAGAACAGAAGTGCAATCTAACGTTCCAGGTGAAATCACAGCTGAACACTGAGTAGCTTCAAGCACCACCACTTTCTTAACTTTAATTCATTTATCAGCATATTTCAAATTTCGTTTTCTATGATATGGTCCGTTTTCAGGACTATTACACGGGAGTCATACGGTCACGAAGACTTTATCTCAGTACTCTGTGGCTAGGTCTACACTACCAGTCAGTACCACCAGTGGCCTTTTGACACGGAACACAATACAGATGCTGTGCTTCAGATGCAGAAGGAGCAGTTTTGCTGGAGAAATGCCTCAAGTTCAGAGCTGCTGCCAGCATAGCTGCCAGCCAGTCGTCACCTCTTTTCCCACCCCTGAACGAAGGAGCATGCACACACATGTGCCTGCACTGCTCTGCCTACCGTGAGCACGCCAGCCTGGCATTCACCTACAGGAAGACAACTGGAGCGTCTGAGTAGCAAGACTTACCCATCTGTAAGAACACAGGGTGTCCTGTGAGAAACATCGGCTATTCCCAGCTCCACTTGCAGAACTGCACTACGCAACCAAAACTGCATCATTGCGTATGATAGCCTGAAATTAGCACATCCCCTACCCAACACATTATTAAAAGTAACAGGAAATGCACATCAAAAGACAACTCCGTCAACAGGTTTGCTAGTGGATGCGTTCAGGGTTCAGAACGCGAATTTGATGCAGTTGATGTCCAAGAAGGAATCTTAATACCACAAGTTTTCCAACTGACTTCAATCTAACCTTGCACACAAATGAGTAAGTATGATGTTCATGATGTATCAAAAAACAAAGACAGCAATAGAGAACAGAAAACGTACCAGAGAGAATACCTAAAGCTAATACATTAACACCAACTTAGGATCACTGTATACCAAGTGGGATGAACAAATTAAGCGCAGTAAGCGCTCAGTATTCCTTTACCTAAGACCCAGTGTCTCAGCACTGCCCTCCTGCTCCCATGTGCACACTTAAAATCCCAACGGCTGCTGCAAGCAGAGAGCAGGAGAAGCGGGCTGGGACATCCCGTAGCTGTTCTTGGGCTGCACTGTACCAAATTAAGCAGATAATTTGACGGCTTCCACAGTTCAGCAGAACAGCCCGAAATCAGATTCTTCCCGTTTCTCAGAGTCCTTTCTACAAAGAGGAAGTTGTTGTATACACAATGCATTACATGCTTTTTCCCACCCCAGAGCTAGCTTTTTCATGCTGTAATAGCCCAGTCTGTTAACTCGCACCTACTTCCAGCACATTAACAGTCACCTCCCTTGCCAGGAGGTTGGTTGTTCTCCAAATCAAGTGTTTCTAAGTCCCGATTTTCCTCCTGTTACAGTTTGAGAACTTAGTGCCACGTAAGCAGAGGAGGTAAAAGAAATCTCATATGAGCTGAGCTTTATCCGACCAAGTTGCTCTACGGTTAAATGACACTGTGCTCAGTGCTCAGCTAGCAATACCCTTTTGCACAGGGATTCATTCTGCTCTCCCTGTAAGCGCAGTCCAACAGCAACAAGCCCGGCACAGATCAACCTCCTTTATCCTCCAGGAGCTGATTCCGCTGGGGCACGCTCCTGTGTGCATCTCCACCACAGCTTGTCTTAATCTACTTGGAAGGCTTAAGGGACACCCCGGAGCACCTAGCCAGGTTACAAAAACAAGCAAGCAAGCAAGCTGAGCATTCAAATAAGCTCACATGTTTTCTTTCCTATACTTGTAAAACATGGCCTAAAGGTCTGGGGATTCTGCCTGCTCAAAACCACACAAATTAAGTTTAAGTTCTGCCCCGTTTTCTCCTTCCCCGTGCAGAGGCGACCAGAGGAGGAGGAGGATTATGAGGGCAGGGCATTTCGGAAGCCAAACCTGGGACGAAGCGTGCTGAATGCGGGACTTGGGCGCTGAGGCTCCGAGGGGTCAGGAGCTGCCTTCACCCAGCCCTCCACAGCGGGCTGCCGGGACGCTTCGACAGCCCCGGCAGCATTTAAAAACCAAACAGCGCTAAAATAAAATAAATAAATAAAAGAGGAAACAACCCCAAGCCCCTCAGGAAGAAGGCACCCGGCTGCCAGCCGCACCGCACGGCCAGTTTCACCCTCCAACAGGTGCTGGCAGGCGAGATACGCCCTGAGGGGACCCTGAGGGGATCCTGAGGGGACCCTGAGGGGATCCTGAGGCGGGACCGGCACCCTCCGAGCCGCGCCCCGCGGCCCCGCACCTTGGCCCGCTGCTCCCAGCTGTACTGCGGCGCCTTCTCCTCTCCGGCCGCCGGCTCCCCGTCAGCTCCGGCCGCCTGCTGCTGCTGCTGCTGCTGCTGCCCGCCCTGCGCCGCCTTCCTGCGCTTGGAGAAGCAGCAGCCCATGGCCGCCGCTGAGGGCAACCGCTAACGGCAACCGGTAACGGCCGCCGCGCGCTCCAACCGCCCCGGCGCGCGCCCGCGGCCGCGGAGTGGGCGGGGCGGGGAGGGGAAGGGAGGGGAGGGGGGGGGGGGAGCATCGGGAGCGCGCGCGCCAGCGCAGCGCCGTGCCCGCGCCCCGCCCCGCCCCGCTTCCGGGTGCCCCCGCGCGCGTGCCCGCGGCCCCTCAGGGGCTGGCGGGGGGCGGCGCTGCCCCTGCCCCTGGTGACAGATCTGGGGAGCGTCTTGTTTAAGGGCAGGTTTTAGTCCTGCTGGGCATGGAGAAGACCTCGAAATGTCGTCTGTAAGACGCGAAAGTCAAGAAGAGAAAAAAATAAAGGACTTCACGGCTGCTACTTCCTCAAAGCTCAGCTCGGGTTTTCTGTCAGCAAGGGTCACAAATCCTCTGCTTGAGGTGCAGCTCATCCAGGCAAAGCTTTGAAAGCCTTCCTAGTTCAGATTAGATTCACCTACACTCATTTGAAACTGTGACTTACGGGAGAGAGAAATTACACGCGGCAGGGGCAATTCTTCATGTATTCGGCAGAAAGGAGGAGAAGGGGATTTACCGCTGGGCTCATCCCCTCAGACTGTGTTTTGATGCACGGTGATGACAGAGCTGTTCCCAGAAAGCATCCCGTGCCTCCAGCTGCTTACCGGAATCCCCCACCACCTATGCACAAATGTTTGCACAGACATGTGGTAAACTGTGTTGGGTAACTGATGGATGTGAGAAGCAACCATTTTAATTAGACATCTGTGCGTTTGTGTCTAAACAGACCCTCTTTTTTTTTTCTTTTTTTTTCCACAGAAGCAGATGACGTATACTGAGTAATCTCACACAGAAATCATCGCATACTCTGGGATCACATCACACTGGCCCTTTTTCGTTTCTCCTTGCAGGTTCCCTAATGCCAGGGGCTCTCGCCAGACTGAGCACCAACCAACAGAAGTTGGTCCGGGACTTGAGACCAAGATGAACAAATAATATGGCTAATTTTGCAATGTATTATGATCTATTTTTGCATTGTTACTGCTGATTTGGGACTGATTTTTGTAGCTGTCCTCAGCAGCAAGCCTGGTAGGTGTGGTACACAGCTTTAACACTGGGGTTAGTTAAGTAGGAACAATGGACCCGTGTGGCTGTGTCCCAGGTCACCGTGAACTGATATACTACGACGAGGAAAAGCACAAATAACAAAACAGAACAGTTCATTTTTGCTAACTTGTTTGTTCAGAAATAACCTTTCTGATATTCCCAACCCAAGTTTTTTTTTTTTTTTTTAAAACTGAAAATCTAAGTAGACCCCAAAAGCCATAAATTAAATACTGTTGGCCAAATGAATGAAAGAATCATGTGTAAGTAAGGCCATCATTTAATATATCCTACACAGTCAAAGTATGCATCCTAATATTAGGACGGCATAATGTATGACACAGAGAACACATTAATCTGAATTTTGCTGCAAGCTGTTTCTGTGGCAGAAACTCTGCAGCTGAGAGGGGTCACAGTCTGCTTCAGGGCTGCTCATGTTTTGACTGCACTTTCTCAAACAGAGCAAAATGAAGTTTTCGTCTGTAAAGCATATTCTTGTTTAGCAGTTGCAGTTTCACAGCTGTTACACAAGAGCTGAGATCCTAGATCCTTTTTTGTGATAAGAAGCCAGCCGCCACAACCTGGGAGTTGCCCAACCAACACGCCAGAGGAGCCTGTGCTCCAGCTGAGCACCTCGCTGAGGCAGGCAAGGCTCTTCAGTGTAATGCTACGTGCAGATGCAATGTAACGACAACAAAGTTTATGGAGAGTGCCTTGTGTGGTTTCTGGCTAATAGGGCAGCAATTGAGATAACAAGCTGCAGTGCTGATTCAGCAAGGCATGTATGCACGCGCCAAAACCTACAGATTGCAGTGGGATTTCAGCAAGAGCAAAAAGCCGGGCACACGGTTAAAATTAAGATGAGCTTTAACAGCTTGCTGAAGCATAGCCCAGCAGCCCTTGCTTTCTTCCCTAAGCTTCTGTCGGGGACTTTTTTAGTTCTAGGTGCACCAGTGCCCTCTGTGTCCTAGCTGAAAATGACAAGATCATCCGCCAGCATCAGTCTCCGGCTGCTTCTCTGTGTGCTTTATCCTGGTCTCCAGCTCCTAATCTTAGGGGTGCTCTGTGGAGCACTGCTCCAAAGGGAGGCTCCTGGGAAGTTTCACTCTGCCACAGTCCTAATGCAGAAAGCAAAGGCCAGAAATACACTGAGTAAGGGTTGCTTGCTTTTACCACTTAATATCCTTTTTTTTTCATCCTGGATGAGAGAAGGCTCAGGGGCAACCTCGTCACAGCATAAGGGGCAGCTTTACGAGGAGGACGGAGGCTCGCTCTTCACAAGGAGACACATGGACAAGACAAGGGGCAATGGGAGAGGTTTCACCTTGTTATAATAATAAGATTTTTGTTTGTTTTGTTGTTGTTGTTGTTGTTGTGTACAGTGAGGACAAACAATCACTGGAATAACCTCCCTGCAGATGTGGTAAAGTCCCCATCACTGGAGGTGTTCAGGGTGTGATTGGACAAGGTGCTCCATAGTCTCATCTAGGCTCCCTTTTCCCCAAAAAAAGGTAGGGCCTGATGATCTTTGAGGTCTTTTCTTGTCTAGGCTATTCCTTGGTTCTGTGATGTTATCATTTAAGATAATATTTTAACTGTAGAAGGATAGAAGTCCTATTTGCAGTCCTGGGTTGTTTTTTGTTTGTTTGTTTGTTCTGGTTTTTTTTTGGAGGTTTGGGGGGGTTGTTTGCTGTCGACATCATATCAACCCTACTTCACTGTAGTTTCAAGCTGCTGCTATGGCACAGGAGAGGGATTGCTGAGGCCTGGTGTACACACTCATTCTCCTAATTCTGCTGCAGCAGACCATCAAAGGTGGGTGGTTAGAGGTACCAACATGTTCATTTGCTTTTGCACGGTTCATTAGAATTTGTCTAGCTGACATCTTCCTTTACATTATTGCACGGTCTATTGATGCTCTTCCCATTTCAAGCAGTTAATTTTATGGGGTGGCTTTATCTATGGTGCCCATTGTCTTTGTGGGTGAGAACAGTGGCTGGCTGATGTTCCCAGGGAGACTGGCAAAACGTGAGAAAAGTGGGATCTCCAACAAAAATGTACAAGACATCACTTATCTGCAACCATGATGAAATCCTGGCAAAAGGTACTCAAGGGCTGTAGGTGTGCTCGACTCTGCCTACATTAACTTTAGGGAATTACACAGGATCTGTATCCCTGAATGTATCCCCAAATGCTTTAGGGGATCAGGTCAAGGTTTTTATCAAACCTCATCAGCACCATACTGAGCCAGTGAATCAGATCTAAACTACACATTTTAATACTCTGTGTTAACTGTAAAAAATTCCTGCTGTTAAAGTCATCAAATACAGGATTCCATTTGTTTTGCCTTTTCTTCCCTTCCTGTCTGTCAGCAGAAGGTGCAATAAACATTTCAGACGCTGTTTTTGGAAATACTGCGACGTCACTGTGAGGCTCCGAGGAGTAAATTAGTTAAGCTGTTGATAGCACGAAATAGCAAGGGATTCTGCAGACAGCAGGTGGAAGGAAAATAGCAAAGTAATTATTAACTGCAAGAGTCTAAACTAAAGCTTGCTTGCATATTAGGAAGGGTTGTTGCACTAAGCCTGGTTTTCAAATCATGTAGTTTGCACTGAAGGAGCAAGAATGTCCCGTACAGAAATCAATAAAGTAAAATGGTCATATCAGGAAGAGTCAGGGTGATATGAAACATATTTTCTCTTGCAAAACAGACTCACTCACCAGAGTGAGGTACACAATAGACAAATCTGAAGTGGAAAGACCTTCCCTTCAGTTCAGAGAGGTAGAAACACAGATTTGAATACTGTAAAGTGAAATCCCAAAGGAATTCTGTGACCACTTACAGGGGTATGCATACTCTGTGTAACCGACAAATAGCATAGGCTGGTGGCTCTTGGCTTAAAGGTCAGAAGAAGGGAAGCACAGTCACATCATGAGAACCAGGTGCACAGCAAGGGGAAAATGGAAAATGTCTTTGAGTTAATGCAGATGAATTCTCCCTTCATTCAACCCTCTGCTGTTTTGCTGAATTTCTGCCCCTCTCTTTCTAGGCATTCAGAAGTCATTCAAACTGCAATAACTTCTGTAAAAAATTGTAAATGAGAGAGGCATGAGGAAAGGCCGAATAAATAAAAGAGTAACCAATAAGAATGGCTCACTTTGGGACCCAGTCTATTAATTGTCTCTGTTTTGCCTCAGTTGAGGAAAAATTTGTCCGTTCTCTACGTTTGTAAGAGATTGCATGTCTTCAGTACAGATGAACTACCAAAAAGCACCTTTCTTTTGGAGACTGCAGTACTTAACTGGGGTCCTCTGCTACCAAACTAGATCTGTGGGTTGGTTTCCTTGGCCCTAGGTCTACTAGTTAGATATGCAAGTCGGTCTGAGTTTGTCATCCAAAGCAATCTCTTCATAATAAAATCAGTGGAGGAAAACTTTGCTGGTGGCAAATTCATCTCCTTGGATAGGCAATTTTTGGGGTAGTTAATGTGACCCGTCTCAACTACCCATTTTTCTGTGTTGACTATAAAGCCAAAGTAGGGTGAGGAACACAGACTTAGGCATCAAAGGCTCAGCTGTCTGAAGCTGGCCTTCCAAAGCTGTTTTAGGTGAATCACACTTTTATGCAAAACTGTTTATTGTTCTTTATTTCTAGCAGTACCCCGTATGTTACAGGTGCTGTACATAAATGAATCTACAGTCCCTGCCAGCAGGAGATTAAATCTGAGCCCAACCAGCTCACACACATTAAAGAGGTGCTTGCTGTTAACAACTGAGCTTCAAACAACTGGCTAAATTACACTTGCTTGTTAATTATGAAGGTGATATATATAGAGAGCGATAAATATGCTAAGTAAATAACCCTGTATTGTACTTTGAAACAAATCCATTAAAAGTTTTATTTAGGCAAATGAAAAGAGTTTGAATAGTTTTGTAAGATAAGGCAAACACGATGTTAATTTTCTGAATTAAA